ATCTTGGTCTCTATATTTACACAAAGTATGGCTTCTAATAAATCTTTTACGACTAAATCAAAGCAACTATTAAAAAATCACGCTAGAAACAGAACTTCATATGGAATGATTGTTCTAATATAAAAAAGACGTATAAAAATAAAGGTTTAACATAAAGTGGCAACCTGCCTTCGACTCTGTAGTGCATGGCCCCTTGTCGAATTTCTGGGCTTGCAAGGTCCTCGCCTCCCTTAAGGTATATGTTGCAATACAGGAATGCGCAGATATCGAATTAGCTGGAGAAGAGGTAGTTGGAAATGAAAAAGTCAAAGGGTCGGGAGAGGATGGGTGGCGAAGAACACGGAGATTAGCAAATTGGCGACTAGGTGGGACTGAGGCCTGAAGATGCTGACTTGTATCATTGGGTGCCACTGGAAATGCCGTTTCTACGGCCTCGCTACGTATTACATTCGTGTCATTTGCGGGACCTAAAGCAGTCGGGTGTTTGGGGTAAAGCACATTTGGTTTTCTCAGCACAACTATCCTACGTTTTTGACTTTCTTTGATAAAGCGTCCCTTGATACGACTGTCCAATAATTTGTTGGCCAAACCACTGCCCAAGTGGTCATCTTTACCACCATCACCGTAGGCGTCGCGGAAATTTACTTCTCTTCCCGAATAGTTAGCGCTCTTGTGGCAATTGAACCAACCCAACAGGACGTCTTGCTTGAATTCGTTGTGATGTTTGTGACGCCATCTGCGGAACCCCAGCACTATGACACCGAATAAGATGATCATTGGCAGAGCAACGAGAAGTAAAATACTGGGAACCGGGTACAATAAAATAAGCTGAAGGAGGCGATGAAAACGGCTTGGCTCTGATCCGAAGTGGAAGACCCATTCTGATTGAAAATATATGTAGGCAAAGCGAAATGGTGAGGGCAGGGCTATTGTTACAATGAGATCAATTCAGTTGGGAGTCAAGTGAATCATAAGTAATTACAAAATTACCCTAAAGCTGGGGTTAATTAGACATCTGCC